CCCCCCCCCCCCCCCCCCGCCCCCGACCCCAAATGACAGACTGAGAATGAGGGTTTAAGGAAAACTGGAAGACCCAACTCCTCCCTCCCCCCACTCAATAAGATGTTGATGCATGTTGTTATATAGTGCATTTAAAATGGGGGGGATGAGGCGGTGACTGGCACAGACCCACCCCCTCCCCAGAGAGCAGGCAGTGCCCGTTCACCTCTCCAACCCTTGACCAGAACCCTAATGTCTACATGCTACATATGAGAGTGGGTACTGGTCCCGGAGGTGAGAATGATTACACATCCCACCCCCTATATGCCACCGTGTGCCCACTCCAGACCCTATATATGCATGCGTCATGAGAACGTTATATGCGTGTGTAGATCAACATATATCTGTGATATATTCATAAATTAAACGGATTCTTTCATTTTTCTGGACTGAATAATATCGTGCATTGAATAATTAAATGTAACGTGAGACGTTAATTTTCTTTGACCCATCAAATGAATGCGGTCATTTATTAACAGAATCAAAGTTTAACATCTAACATTTACATTAATTTGGCAAATTGATTACAATAACACATAGCTTAATTAATTAGCTTTACAGTCAGGAAACCATACGGCCATGGTTTCCTCACTTCAAGCTTTACAACAGACATTTCTGAAAATATCTGGATGATTACTGGCAAGATAGAAGAGTTTAAAGATGGAAATGAAGTTTAAATGGAGAGGAAAAGATGGATGAGTGAATATGTGTCGGTATCAGAACGGCACGCTCCATTAGGTCTCAGCTTCCTCCTCGGTACACTTAGGTAGTGTAAATCGACTCTTTACCTGTAGAAGGTGTCTCCACTGGTACGGAGTTCCATTTAACGCACCCTTTCAGCGTCTCCGTAGGAACAGCTGTGAATCGTCCGAAGTAGTGACGGTATTCCGTCCGACACACGTTCACCCCACTGGTAGACTCACATGAGGAGTAAGTCCGTCAGAGGCTCTACTCAGATGTGGAAGATTCCATAATTCCCACAAGACTCGGAAGAACTGCGGATCATGTCTGGACCTCCTGTTCTCTCCAGCACTTTTTCTGTTCGGTTCTGCTCTCCGAACTGAACTGCTCTCCCACCGCACTCTGGATTCTCTATTCCAGCATTCTCTCAGAACTAGGAAGTGTTGAACCTTTTTAAGAGGTCACTTCCGGTTCATTTGAGAACTTCCTGATTGGTCGATCGACCGAACAGGAGGTGTGTTTTTGTGACGTAAGAGGTCACTAGAAGTCAGAAAAACAGAAAGAATGTTTTGGAACAGACTGAAAATGTTTTTGAGACAGACAAGAGAAATGTTTAGGCGAGTTGGGAGGAAACAGGTGCCAGCTTCTCTATTTATGTCAGAGGATTTAAAAACATGACAGTTCGTTCCAACAAACTTGTTTGCGTTTGTCTCCAACCTTGGACCAACTTACACTTGCTCATTTCAGACAGAAAATCAGAAAATGCATAATTACTCTAACACATTCTAACTTGATTTCTACTTTGAATGAGGGTTAAAAATTCATTAATACTGTTTCACAGTTGATTTAAAATGAGTAGTTCACTTCAACATTTAAAAATGGTTTGAACTAAACACACTTTGATTATCACGACATTTGTAAAATAGTAATGATAATAAAAAAGCGAGTGTTCTTTCAATTGATCAGTGCAGGACACTTAGAAAGTC